AGCTGCCTTCAGAGTCAGACATCAGTGAGGCAGAAGAACAGCTGGAGCCTGTTCCCAGTGTGAACATACACAGAGTTGCCAGACGAAAGAAACAGCTAAGGAACAAGGGTCGATGGGAGTAAGGCCACAGGTGAATCAATGAATGGCCCCTCCCAGAGGGAAATAAAAGAGGAGCGAAAGGGGAGTGGAGTTTGCAGGAGACAATTAGTTCATTCCTGCATTCTTGCCAAGTATTGCGGCGTCTGAACCATATCAGCCTGGCTGCTCTCTAAGCCTGATAAAAGGTCGGTAATTGTGAACTCTCTTGAAAGACTTTGCTGGAGAGGAATTCACTGCAAATTAAATAAAAGGGGTTTATCGGGACAAGGATTTGGCTTTGTGCTGCTGGGGAAGCTTAGGTCAGAAGAAAATCCAAAATGAATGCATTTTACTTTAAAATAAAAACTTACTTGTTTAATACTGGTTTTGTCGATAATACCTGGAAAAAAAATACAAGATGGTCATGCTTTTAGATTTTTGAACAGTGAATACCAATAAAGTCCAAATATACTAGGCTAAGTTTAACCAGTGCAACTGCACAGAATACGGATAGTCCTCAACTTACAACAGTTCATTCAGTGGTCGTTTGAAGTACAACAGCACTGATAAAAGTGACTTATGACTGTTTTTCCACACTTACAAGCCAGTTTTACTTAACAGCCATGTTACTAACTGAAGAACTGCAGTGATTAATTTAACAACTCTGGCAATGAATGAATGAATGAAATTGAGTTGGACACCCCTCTCCTAAGATGTCTTTTTATAGGTTAAAAAGCTTGACAGGTAAATTTGCACGTGGGGTGGGGTTTATAATTCTAAAATAAAAATGAAAAAAAATTTTTTTTCACGGTTATTAAGCAAATCACTGTTGTTAGGGTGAATCACACGGCCATTAAGCGAATCCCTCTTCCTCCACTGACAACAGAAAAAAGGAGCATGATTTAAACTTGCCTGAAAGAGGGAATTAAGATTGATATGTTCCTGTCCTGTCTTGTTTAGTGCTTTAATAGCTGGAGTTCTGCAGAATAAAAGTATAACGTTAGTGGAGAAATATAACCGATTTCCTAAGTCAAGAATGTGCAAAGCTGAATTTTAAAAAGTTTGTTTTGTACATCCAGATTTTACTTGTGACATTAAAGGCAGCTATGTCCTCTTCTCTAAATCCTGTTTGGGATCCCTTTTGATCCCAAACCTTTTTTGAGATTTTGGCCATTATATGTACCCCAGCACATATCAGGCCGTATTGTTGTTAGTTGCAAAGTTGTGTCTCACCCATCGTGAGCCCCTGGGAGAACGTTCCTCCAGGCCTTCCTGTCCTCTGCCATCCTTTGGAGTCCATTTAAGCTCACCCCAACTGCTTTGGTGACTCCATCCAGCCACCTCNGGTGCCGAACTGGTAGTAATGGCGGCAGGAACCCACTCCTGCCTCAGTTGCTTTTGGGGGGGGGGAGGTTGAGACCTTCTGACAAGAAAAGTCAACAGGGAAGCCAGAATTCACTTAACAGTCCAAGTTAACAACCGCAGGGGTTTGCTTAACAAGATCCTAAAAACGTGTCAAAACTCGCGCAACAAATTTCTCGTTTTTAGCAGCTTAAATTTTGGGCTCAGATGTAGTTGTAAATCGTTGACTCGCTGTACAGTTCATGACTTGGTCCCAGACGAAACCAGAACGCGTGGGTTTGAATCGCTATGGCCATTTTGGCACTTCCAACATGCCTCTGTACTTACTCTTCTGGACCGTTAGTTTCTCCGGAATAATGGGTTTGTAACTTTTGTTTGAATCGCCATCCTTCTTCTTTTGCTTCTTTTCCATGCTTTATAACCGCATCGTGTTAACCGGTACCCAAGGACATTCTCGGGCTCCTAAAACAAACCAAGCCACCTGATTTGCAGTCAGCTTCCCCATTGTCTTAAATCATCCAATGGGGAAAAAACCTGGCGAGAAAAGAAGGGACATTCTTGGCTTCCATTGGCCGGAATCTTAGATAGGACAAGGGGTCCATTCTGAAGGTTGGCTTGAGAACTTAAGAGAATAACAGAGTCGGAGAGACCTCGGAGGTCTTCCTAGTCCAACACCTTGCTCAACAGGAGATTCTACACCCGTGATTGCGAACCTCAGCGCCACCGGTGGCACATGGAGACGTATTTGCCGGCATGGCAGCCCTCAGCTCCGGCGCACATGCGAACGCTGGCCAGCTGATTTTCAGCCTTCCGGCAGGGTGGGATAAACCATTTTCGCCCTCGCTGGGCTTCAGGAAAACCTCCGGCGTCTGGGGAGGGTGAAAGCTCCCTTTAGTCTTGCTTAATGTCAACATACATAGTAACAAAATTCCATTTTTTTCCCCTCCAGTTCTTTTTCCATTAAACCCAAGAGGAAAAATTGTGATTTCATTTTTATCTCCATTTTCAGGATTTTCTGTATTTTCTGCATTACGATATGAGTTATAATCCAAATAATAATATTATTTTTGCACATTGTTCACCATAGATGGTAAAAAAAGTCCCCTTCTTTGTTTTTACACGTCCAACATACATTTGACATTTGATGTCGGCAATTGGCTACTTGGGGAATTCTGGGAACTGAAGTCCAGATAAAGTGGCTGACGACCAGTGGTGGGATTCAAATAATTTAACAACCGGTTCTCTGCCCTAATGGCCAGCTGGGTAGGCGTGGCTCAGTGGTCAAGAGAGTGGGTGGGCATGGCCAACTCAACCTCACTCACATCGACGGGCGCTTCGCTTTAGCTGTTACAATGCAATAAGGGTTAACTGGAGAGGCAGTTTCTGTAAGCAGGACAATGAAGATGAGGCTAGAAACAACACCAGGATGTTTCCTTCCTGCCTTCCTTCCTTACAGGATTAGCCTGGAAAGTGGAAAAAAAACAAAAGGAGATTTCTTCCAACAACCGGTTCTCCGAACTGCTTGGAAAGTTACGAACCAGTTCTCCCAAATAGGTGCGAACTGGCTGAATCCCACCACGGCTGAGGACAAGAAACAAGCTGGCAGCACCTGATTTTTGCCAGTTGCAAAAGGTTGCCATGGCACAGGTTGTCATTTTGACATTATCCTAGCTTGTTACAGAATCCTATAAACGGGAAGTCAATAATGAGAGCCACAAGCTTGACCCCCAAAATATATGTCTAGTGGAACAAGTTTCCCACCTTTGGGACAACTATGACCTGGATGCAGTGGTGGGATTCAAATTTTTATACCAACCGGTTCTGTGGGCGCGGCTTGGGTTTGTGGGCGTGGCAGGGGAAGGATATTGTAAAATCCCCATTCCCTTCCCACTCCTGGGTGAAGGTTACTGCAAAATCCCATTCCTCCCCATCCCTCTAACCTGCTTTCCAGCTCTGTTCTTGTGTTCAAGGCAACAAAAGAAGATCAGCTGGGAGGCAGCAGGGGCGGGGCCAGCCTATTTGCTGGTTCTCCGAACTACTCAAAATTTCCGCTGCTGGTTCTCCAGAACCTGTCAGAATTGGCTGAATACCACCTCTGCCTGGATGACTGAGACTCTCCATAGACTTTTAGCTATACAATTTGGGATGGACACTTTTTGAATGGTGTGGCAGTAAGAATGGATTTCCAGAGGAAAAATTGCAGACTACAGCAACCAGGAGTGCTATTCAGGTGACCCTGAGGACAGAGATAAACCTCCAAGTGGCCTCAACGATCCTCTAAATGGGTGCAAAGGACCAGCTGTCTGCAAGGAATATAAATCCTTCCATCTCCCCATCATCCAGTCAGAGCTGAAGAAGCTTCTTGGTTGAGAAGCGAAACATCTTCAAAGAAAGCCCAGTTGCCTCCCGAAAAAGCCCCTTGGGAGCCCCACTGCTAAGCAAGAGAGTTATTCAATTAGTTTTGCCCCATTTTTACGACCTTTCCTGACACGGTTGTTAAGCGAACCGCTGCAGTTGTCAAGTTAGGAACATGGTTGTTAAATGAATATGGCTTCGCCGCTGACTTTTTTCAGTGCTGTTGTGACCGCAAGCGGTCACTTAAGTGAGCCGTTGTAAGAGGAGGACTACCTCTATGCCATTTTCAACGCAACCCTCCTCAGTCAAATTAAGTTTTATTTCTTTGGAAAAAATAGATCTCTTCAGATGTATTTTTTGGTTAGATTTATTACGCAATTTCCAATGATCTGTTTACATCGCTTATTCCAGTGTTTCTCAACCTTGACAACTTGAAGATGTCCGGACTTCAACTCCCAGAATTCCCCCGCCAACCCAATCTTGGTGGGGGATTTTGGGGGGTTAAGTTCCGACATACTCCAATTTGTAAAGGTGGGGAACACTGG